CATAGGAATTTGTCCATTATTTTTTTTTCCAAATATATAGTCTGGCCCCACACAAGGTCTGAGGGACAGTGGACCGGCCCCCTGCTGAAAACATTTGCTGACCCCTGGCTTATGCTCACAATGTTAAGAAAATAAATCAGAAAATAACACTTGCAGCTGTATTGTATTTTTCCTTCTTTTAATATTTTCAATGGGGGGGTGACAGAAAATTTTCGCACCAGGTACCACTTGACCTTGCTACACCACTGAAGAGGGGAGGGCTTTCGTTCGCCAAAACTCTGAATTATATTGAACAGTACAGAGAAAAAAGTGTGTATTAGGACATTCAAATGACAATGCTGGTGAATTTTCATAAGGGCTTAAAAATAATAATCATCACAAACTCAGGTAAGGGAACTGAACTTAAGATCAGATAAATGAGAAACTGAAATGGACAGATTCACCCTAACCCTCCTGCCTCCCACTGGAAAGCTAAGATTCAGTCCTGTGACTCCAGAGCAGCTATACCAGGGTGAAGCAGAAATCAGTTAAAATATGCACTTGTCCCCTTTCTCCAGTGCAACTTGAGTGCAAGTATGGATCCAACCCACCTTTTAGGAGTTCACAGTCTTAGCCTACAGCCCTTCCTAAAAAATCGGACTTCTCTCCCTTCAACAATATTTCACTAGTTTCCATTCTTTTCAGTTCTGTCCTCCTCGGAATGAGGTAATGATTGATGTTTTCTTTCAGAAGTATTTGAGCTATCTTCCAGAGTAATTTATTTTCTTAATAAAAGTTAAGTGTTAATGTTTCTTCCACTGCTTTATATGTGAAAACAATCGTCATGATAAATAGTCTGTCGGAAAAGCATTCATACACACGTATCTGGCAATGAAAAAGTATACACACACATACACATACACACCCCTCCCTGAAACCAAAGCCTTTATAAAGCAAATAATACATTTCCTATTGATTGGGCATAGATTGCTTTAGGCAGAGTTGTACTGAATCAAGGCAGATGCTCCTGTTACAAAGCAACCTGTGACTATATATCACATTGGCCTCAAGCAGCCTTTGAAATCTCATTGTGCAGCTCAATATGACCTCTATCCTAGACATCAAACTATCGGAAAGTTATAGGCTAGCTGAAGGGAATTCAGAGGATGGCAGAAAACATGATGAAGGAGAAGTGGAACTTGCCGAATAATAATATAAAAAGGAACAGCGAGAAGAGTGTTTTATCACTTGGCAAAAGCCCACAGAACTATTCAATTAAAAAAAAAAACCCTTTTGATTGAACATGTTGTGTCAAGGGCTTTCCCAGTTCACTCAAGCTCCAAGATGTTGGGTAATTGCATCTGTTAAAGGCCACAGAAAGGTCATCTACACAACATGAGCATGGTATGGTATCGTGCGCTGTGGTTGTTCAGGCTTCACCATGGAGCTGGATGGTGGCCAGAGGCAGAGGAGTCAACGAGTCCCAGATTCTTCACTGGAATAGACACATGGGAGAATCAGAGAATCATAGAATCATAGAGTTGGAAGAGACCACAAGGGCCATCAAGTCCAACCCCCTGCCAAGCAGGAAACACCATCAGAGCACTCCTGACATATGGTTGTCAAGCCTCTGCTTAAAGACCTCCAAAGAAGGAGACTCCACCACACTCCTTGGCAGCAAATTCCACTGTCGAACAGCTCTTACTGTCAGGAAGTTCTTCCTAATGTTTAGGTGGAATCTTCTTTCTTGTAGTTTGGATCCATTGCTCCATGTCCGCTTCTCTGGAGCAGCAGAAAACAACCTTTCTCCCTCCTCTATGTGACATCCTTTTATATATTTGAACATGGCTATCATATCACCCCTTAACCTCCTCTTCTCCAGGCTAAACATGCCCAGCTCCCTTAGCCGTTCCTCATAAGGCATCGTTTCCAGGCCTTTGACCATTTTGGTTGCCCTCCTCTGGACACGTTCCAGTTTGTCAGTGTCCTTCTTGAACTGTGGTGCCCAGAACTGGACACAGTACTCCAGGTGAGGTCTGACCAGAGCAGAATACAGTGGCACTATTACTTCCCTTGATCTAGATGCTATACTCCTATTGATGCAGCCCAGAATTGCATTGGCTTTTAGCTGCCGCGTCACACTGTTGGCTCATGTCAAGTTTGTGGTCAACCAAGACTCCTAGATCCTTTTCACATGTACTGCTCTCAAGCCAGGTGTCACCCATCTTGTATTTGTGCCTCTCATTTTTTGCCCAAGTGCAATACTTTACATTTCTCCCTGTTAAAATTCATCTTGTTTGTTTTGGCCCAGTTCTCTAATCTGTCAAGGTCGTTTTGAAGTGTGATCCTGTCCTCTGGGGTGTTAGCCACCCCTCCCAGTTTGGTGTCATCTGCAAATTTGATCAGGATGCCCTTGAGTCCATCATCCAAGTCGTTGATAAAGATGTTGAGTAAGACCGGGAGACTGTGCAACTGAAGCTAACATGCAACCCGATTCATATATGTATCCATGGAGAATGAATGCACGGTGGGGGGAGGATCCCAACTTCCCCTCTCACCCATGTGACAAGAACCTGCATTCAGTTCATAAAATCGTAGAATCATAAACTTGTAGAGTTGGAATGGACCCTGCACATGCCCAGACACCGAAAATCACTTCTGCGCAGGCGCGATTTCTGGCACTGCGGACATGCGCAGATGTGATTTCCGGCATCGCACTGCACCAGTCCAGCCCACGGAGGATCTCCGCTGGAGTGATCCGGCCCATGCCCAGTAAGCCTTGCTGGTCTAGTCCAACCCCTTGCAATGCAGGAATCTCAGTTAAATCATACATGGCGGATGGCCATCCAACCTCTGATTTAAAACCTCCAATGAAGGAGAGTCCACCACCTTCATGGGGAATCTGTTCCGCAGCTCTTACTCTCAGGAAGTTCTTCCTGCTGTCTAGTCGGAATCTCCTTTCTGGTAAATTGTATTCATTGGTTTGGGTCCTACCCTCCATAGCAAGTGAAAACAAGCTTGCACCATCTTCCATGTGACAGCCCTTGAGAAGATGACTATCATATCTCCTCTCAGTCTCCTCTTTACCAGGTTAAATGTACCCAGATCCAGCTATTGAACTGGGCTGGAGAATCACTGCATAACACCCCTTCATACATGCTGTTACCTATCTAGCATCCAATTTGCATGGCCCATAACTAGATGCAGACATTCCTTCATTACATTAATTGACTTTTTCTTTATAATAAAGCAGGTCACCTTTTTCTTCTTCTGGCTTATCTCCAGTGGTACCATTTCCTCTTTCCATCTCCACATGTTTCAGTTTTGTTAGGAACTTGCACTTATTTGCATTTTTGTTTTGCAAGCCCCCAAACCACTGACATCAACATGCAACTATTTAGGAATGGCTTAATGAAAAATGTAGAATTGTCCCCACACACACACACATTGCCCCCTTGCTAATTTATAAAAGCATTTAAGATTTGATGTAAAAAGTTAGCATCATAACATATTAATGAAGCTTGATTTACTATAATTGTTTTTTCAAAGAGAATCTGGGGTGTGTGAATTACGTGGAGGTACTGGGCTAGCCAAGTTTCAATCCACATCCAAAGATATTTCATTCCTTTTAAACCGTATGTGCATATTCTAGAAATGGAAAAGTGAAAATCAATTGCACTTTAGACTTCAGGTTGTATTTCTTTTCTTTGGTGGTGGGGGGATACAAGAGAAGTTCATGCCTTTGTAACAGGGGAAAATAATTATTGCTGATGTAATGAAAAGCCTCTAACATTTAGGAAATCATTTTTGCTTAAAAACAACCAAAGGATATGATAAAATCGGAGACGATGTAAGTGGTACAACTAGAAACATGCCATTCAATCTTTCTCAATACAGTATAACAATTTTGGGTCAACGGCAGCAGATGGTTTAAGACGGGAAAGCAGCAAGCACTTCTTCAAAGCATGTGCATTTAATGGATAGACCTCATTGCCGGAGGTTGCTGCCATGGCTACAAGGGAAAAAATAGCATCCCAAAGAATCAGGGCTGCTAGGTAAGAAGGCTATGCCTATCCCTCAGTTTGGAGTCCCTGGAGTCTCCTCACCCCTTTTCATTTGCCATGCTAGCTGGGGCTGAGGGGACTGATGGGAATGCCAACAACTTCCAGAGGGCACCAAGTTGGCTACCCCTGGGCTATCCAAAGGCAATGATAGACAAAAGCACAACCCATATGCTAAAGGGGATGGTTAAACTTCAGTCATCTCAGTTCAGAATGTGTTAGGTCTTTCTGATCCTTCTTGTAGAAGATTTTGGGGGGTGGGGAGAGATCAGGTTTGGCACACATGATGACATCATAAAGGGCAAAAGAAGCTAATTCAGACTCAGAATAGTCTTTCCTCAATAGACATTTGTCCTCAGTCTGACTTAGCTTTATTTGCATCGAGTGATTTCTGATTAGCTGCAGGATGTTATTACTGTTGCTTGGGCAAATAAGGCTGACTTTGAGATATTGAAAGATGGAGCCAACACAGCAACTGACTCTGGCTATCTTGTGAAGCTCCTGCCAGAAGTCCCTACCGGCATTAATGAGCGACTCTCAACCCTTCGAATAAAGCTCACCAAAAACCAACAGGCTGCTATTATAAGCGCTTATGCACCAACACTGGATACCAGTGAAGACATTAAAGAACATTTTTACTCTCAGCTGGATACCGACCTATCAGAGGCACCTAAGGAAGATAAAATTATCCTCCTGGGTGATTTTAATGCAAGAGTTGGAGGAGATTTTGATCTGTGGACTGGGACTATTGGGAAAGAAGGAGTTGGCAACAGCAACCAGAACAGAATCTTACTTTTGACAATATGTGCAGCGCACAACCTTGTTATTACCAACACACTCTTTTGACAGAAAAATAAATTTAAAACTTCATGAAGGCATCCTCGGTCAAACCACTGCCACCTCTTAGACCATGTTATTGTCCATGCTAAAAATCGCCGTGATGTGCTCCTTAGCAGAGCTATGACAAGTGCTGACGACTGCTGGACAGATCACCGACTAATACGCTCCACGATGGCTATCAAGGAAGGAAACCAAGGTGCAAAATGAACACTCAATCCCTTCAAGATCCCATTAAGTGGGATTGCTTCCAAATGACTCTTAAGGACTATCTGCTTTCAGAATTCCCTGATAACATCGAGGAACACTGGACCAAGCTAAAAACATCTATTATTGCAGCCTGTGAACAAACTATTGGATACCAAACCAAGAAACACCAGGACTGGTTTGATGAGAATGACAGTGAGATTGAACGCATGATTGACAAGAAAAGGAAGGCCTTTCAAATCTGGCAAAGAGATAGAAACTGTGCCACTAAGAAAAAAACCTATGCCAACGCTAAGGCTGAGGTTCAAAGAAGAACCAGAAAGCTAAAAAACACCTGGTGAATAAAAAACCCCCTCAAGAGATCCAGCACTTAGCCGACACGCATGATGCACAGAGTTTCTTTAAAGCCACAAAGACCATCTATGGACCAATAAATCATGGCATATGCCCCCTACGCTCAGCAGATGGTATCACACTTCTAAAAGATAAAGAAGCTATTGCACTGCGCTGGAAAGAACACTACCAACAACTTCACAAGCTCATTGAAAAAAATCTGGGAAAGAGAAGAGATCCCAGCAGACTTTAAGGATGCCAAAATTATCAATCTCTTTAAAAAAGGTGACAAAACTAATTGTGGAAACTATCAAGACATCTCTCTATTAGCTGCAGCTGGCAAAATTCTTGCAAGGATCTTAGCAAACCGTCTCGTAACAATATCCGAGGTGACCCTTCCTGAATCCCAAAATGGTTTCCGGCCTTCTAGGCCTAGTGGACATGATTTTCACCGTTCGACAGCTTCAAGAAAAATGCAGAGAGCAAAACCAACCCCTGTTTATGGAGTTTATTGACCTAAGGCTCTCGACACTGTGAATTGTAATGCCCTGTGGACTGTTCTTCTGAAAATTGGCAGCCCAGATAAATTTGTAAACATCATTCGGCTGCTCCATGATAATATAACAGCAAGAATTGCAGATAACAATGGCTCTCAAAGTGAACCATTCACAGTGGGATCAGGTGTTAAACAGGGTTGTGTTATTGCCCCAACTCTATTCATTATTTTCATTGCCATGATCCTACACTTTGTCGAAGGGAAACTCCTCACTGGTGTAGAAATCATATATCGAACAGATGGAAAGCTATTCAATCTGAGCAGGCTGAAAGCAAAGAGTAAGGTTACCGTAACTTCCGTTATAGAGCTTCAGTATGCTGATGGCAACGTAGTGTGTGCACGCTCAGAGGATGATCTCCAAACCATCCGAAATATCTTTGCAGAAGCTTACAAAAAGCTTGGCCTATCACTCAACATCCAAAAAACCAAAGTGCTGCACCAACAAGTACAAAATAACCCCTCTGCAGCACCACAAATCCAACTCAATGGTGTAACGTTGGAAAATGTCGATCACTTTTCCTACCTAGGCAGTTATCTTTCCACAAGGGCCAACATTCATGCCAAAATTCAGCACCACCTGAGCTCTGTGAGTGCGGCTTTCTCACGACTGAAATGCAGAGTGTTTGAGGACCAGGACATTCGCAGGGAAACCAAAATGCTTGTTTACAAAGCTATTGTACTACAAACCTTACTGTATGCTTGTGAAACATGGACCACTTATAAACGCCATCTCCAACTCCTCGAAAGATTCCAAATTTTACACATCACTTGGGAAGACAGGCGAACTAATATCAGTGTACTGGAAGAAGCAAAGATCACCAATGTTGAAGCAATGATTCTTCAATATCAACTTCGTTGGACTGGTCATGTTGTGCGGATGCCTGTTGATCGTCTTCCAAAGCAACTACTCTATTCCAAACTTAAAAATGGAAAGCGTAATGCTGGTGGTCAACAAAAGAGGTTTAAAGACTGTCTCAAGGCAAATCTTTAAAAATGTAGTATAAACACTGACAACTGGGAAACACTGGCCTGCAAGCGCTGCAGTTGGATAACAGCCTTTACCAAAGGTGTTAAGGGCTTTGAAGACACTCAAACTCAGGATGCAAGGGAGAAACATGCTAAGAGGTAGACACACTTGGCAAATCCACACCGTGATCAACTCCTGCCCGGAAACCAATGTCCCCACTGTGGTAGGATGTGTGGATCCAGAATTGGCCTCCACAGTCACTTACAGACTCATTGTTAAAACCATGTTTATGGAAGACAATCTTACTCTGCGAAGAGTGATCACCAAAGAAGATGTAAAAAGGCATCAGATAGGCATGCTTGGTGGAAACTCTTCAGAATAGCTAGAATTTCCCTTTTCTACATTGAAAGTGTTCACTGGAGAACATTTGGTTCAGCTCTAGACTGAAGCAGAGTGAGACTGGATTACAAACATTCCGCCAAGAAGGTATTGCGAGCCAGCATTTAAGGCAATGAAAAATCACCATTTATGCAATAAATCCATGAAATGAAGTTTTGTTGAATGCAGGCTGCAGCTGTGGAATCCCTCTGCTCCCCCCTCCCTCTGAGACATGGTAAAGTCCCAAAAACAACTTTGGGAAGCATTGCCAGGATTTTTATTACTGTTACATATAATGACTGTGGCGTTTGGAGATAAACTAACAGGAGGGGGCAGGACTTCACTTTAGAATCTCATAGCTATGTTCATTTTGCCCTTCTCATTCATACTTCCCATTTCCCCAAACTGCAGAATATTCAGGTCAGCTTCAGACGTCTTTTGCGACAGTAGTATCTGCAGCCAGGAGCAGATATGGGGGGGGGGGGCTGTGGAGCTTGGTCCATAAGGGCAAATGGAGCTGTGCCCCCCCCAGCCTCAGCCAGCCCCCACCTGCCCGTCTTCATTCCTACAGCCAGTCCAGGGGGTGAGTCAGGCTGCCAGCATCCTCCTCCTCAGTCTTTTGCATTGCCCTTTGTAGAACTCATCAGGCAAAGGATGGGGACTAAACCAGAATGAGTTATCCCTGTCTGTCATTTGCTCTGGCTCCCCGTACTGTTGATCCTGCCCCCCTGCATTCTGCCCCACCAGCCCCAATAGGCACCACCCACTGTTAGGGGAAGCAGACATGATGATCATACAGTGTGGTGATCATACAGGGTCCCTGGACATTTAATTGTCTATTTAATTGCTGTGCCACCACTGTGCTCGCTTCCGCGCTGCCACCAACCAGTTACTGTCTGGTAAAACACTGAGTCCAGACAGTTGTTAAAAGTGAACCAAAGAAACCAAGTTTATTTTACAAACATTAACAAGTTTATGGTTGATCTCTCCCCCCCCCCCTGTATTCTGCCCCACCAGCCCCATCTCTGGGCCAATAACACCTGCGCAGCTGTGGTCGCATACATAAATAGTCTTTTTTGCTCTATTGGGATTTTGGCACCTAGAATTCCTAAAAGAAAGGTGTCTGGGTTTTTAGAAAAAGTTATTTTAAACTCCCCCCCCCAATTAATTATATATATATTATTTCATATACGGTAATTCTTTTACTACCTTCATTCATAATTTTAGGCCCTGGGAGGAAACAGGACGTGCTGCAGCCAGCATCAAGCCAGTGCACAGTCAGTAAATGAATAACTGTCCTGATGCAGATGGAGGTAACTGGTGTTAGCTGGGACCCCTATCTGTGTTACTGGGTCTCTGTGTGTCTGCCCCATGTGGTGATCCATTGAACTGCAGGTCGCAGTTTCATGACTGGTGATGGGAAACTTGTGACACTCGACTTGTTGCTGGACTACACTTCCTGTCATCCCTGATCACTCACCTTCATGGCAGGGGCTGATGGGAGTTGGAGTCCAGCTACGGAAGCAGCACCCATTATACATTTGGGGTCGAAAGTGGGCAAGGGATTCTGACTGAGAAGATCAAATCCATTTTCTCCCTTTTCTTTTCTTTCTTCGCCGGAGTCAACAGAGCAGACGCACCATGATGGGCAATGAAGACCTATGTGCAACTCTAACAAAGAAACAAAGCCAACCAAAAATGCACCAGGGTAATGTGAAACAAGCGGTTCTGTGGTATTTCCTAAGCCGTTGCTTTGGGGGGGTTGCAATTCCCGGCTCATAAATGACTGGTAAATAATTAATCCAAAAATCTGTTTTGCTGTGCAAGTGCCTAAGAGAGAAATGTACCTTTGTTTCTGAAGGCAAAACACTAGCTTGTGCTCAGCAGAAGGCTAAGCCTGAAAATGGTGTAACTGTAAAAAATATCAGTCAAACGTACCTTAATTTGAAAGGCATTGCATGAAAGGGAGTTTATTAGATTGTGGACGGCATCACCATGAATCTGGAAAGGTCATTAAATGGTCAAGGGCTCAAAGAGCACTTAGCTTAAAAAAAAAGTGATCTGCGGTTTTTGCTTTGCAACCCTCGCCTTGTAATCAACCGGTGAGGCACTCCTTGGCTGCTCCACTTAGGATTCGTTTAACCCTTCTCAAAAGTAGGGCTGACGTGATGGAAAATCTGTGCTCAGCATTCACATTTCTGCTTATATAGTGACACAGGAAAAAAACCCCAATTTCCCAATTCTTGTGCAAAGAACCCCACCTATTAACTGTTGCAGGGTTGTGTTGTTGTGGTTTTTTTGTTTGTTTGGTGTGGTTTTTTTAAAGTAACTGGATGTTAAGCTGATGCCTTGTTAAGCTAGTTGTGGATGATCATGACTGGTGATGATAGACGTATGGTAAGCAACAATAAATCAGATCCGTTTTACACTGCTTTGGTCAATATTGGTGTTTATCAATGGGGACCAAGCCGTGATGGATATACAGTACGGTACCTCTAGAATAGGGACGTGGATGGGGCTGTGGGTTAAACTACTGAGCCTAGGACTTGCTGATCAGAAGGTCGGCGGTTCAAATCCCCGCGACGGGGTGAGCTCCCGTTGCTCGGTCCCTGCTCCTGCCAACCTAGCAGTTCAAAAGCACGTCAAAGTGCAAGTAGATAAATAGGTACCGCTCTGGCGGGAAGGTAAACGTGCACTGCTCTGGTTCGCCAGAAGCAGCTTAGTCATGCTGGCCACATGACCCGGACGCTGTACGCCGGCTCCCTTGGTCAATAAAGCAAGATGAGTGCCGCAACCCCAGAGCCGGCCACGACTGGACCTAATGGTCAGGGGTCCCTTTACCTTTACCTCTAGAATACCACACTTCTGAATACCACTTGCTGGGACACAACAGTGGGCGAGGACCTTGTTATCACATCCTCCACAGGCAACAGGTTGAACACTGCTGATGGACTCTGGACTGATGCAGCTGGGCTTTTCTGTTCCCATCTGGCTACCCCCATCATCTGCATCTGCCTCATTCATCTTACAGAGCTGTGGTTATGATGAACACTTAGCTGTGTGTACATTAGGTAAAAGGAGGTGGCTGTCTCAGGTTGCAGAGGATGAGGGGCGAGAGCAGCAGCAAGAGGATAAAGCTGTATGTGACCCCTTAAGCCAGGGGTGGAAGTCCTTGTCCCCTCACCCATGTTGAAATAAGATTCAGTTGCCAGTCTGGTCAGCTTTTGCACATAGGGAGAAGGGAACCATCTTGATCACCAAAATGTCTTGGTCCAGCCCTGCACTTTACACCCATTCAGACCTTCTGCTGATCATGTGGTGGCAAGGACTCACAATAGGAACATAGGAAGCAGCCACTGGTCCACCTACAGTGGTACCTCGGGTTAAGTACTTAATTTGTTCCAGAGGTCAGTTCTTAACCTGAAACTGTTCTTAACCTGAAGCACCACTTTCGCTAATGGGGCCTCCTGCTGTTGCCGTGCCGCCGGAGCACGATTTCTGTTCTCATCCTGAAGCAAAGTTCTTAACTCGAGGTACTATTTCTGGGTTAGCGGAGTCTGTAACCTTAAGCGTATGTAACCCGAGGTACTACTGTACCGATAGTCAGTGTCTCTCCAAGGCTTCAGCCTGAGGACCTTCCCAGTCCTACTCAGAGACACCAAGTAAGGGATCTGGGACCGTCTGATTACAAAACAGATGTTCTACCACAGAGCTACAGCCCTTCCCAGTCTCCCACTACATGTGTCCTGCGAAAAGGACTACCATGTTCTTCATTTTCAGGGACCAGTGTGGTTACTAACTCGCAACGATCTGCATCTTCCTTACTAAATTTTGAGTTCTTTTTTTTATTTTCCTTTAAAATGCCTTCTGTTCTTTTGTTTTAGTTGTTCTTTTAAGTAAAAAATTCCCTATCTTTCACACATCCTGGCAGGTGACGTTGTTTAGTGGTTTGAGGTGGGGGGGAATGAATTCTTTCAAAACCCACAGCTATGTTATCATATCATTTACTAGGAGGAGGAGAAGGAGAGGGAGAGGGGGGAGGGGGAGGAGGCTGTCTGATAAAAAAACCTCGCTGAGTCTTCCTCAAGAATATGTGTGCACACACGCAAGATCAAATACTTGTGAGCTGCTATCATTGTCCTGAGATTTGTTGCCGCTGCACTAATCTCCTTGTAATTTTGCAAGATATAATGGAACGATGGGCTAATCAGGACTGTGCAGCAGCTGATGTTGCAAAAAAAAGAGATTTTTTTTTATAAAAAGAAAAGGAAAGAAAGGGAACAGTAGAATAGCAGCCATTTTAAACTGGCAGGGGTGAAGGGAAGTTCACTGGTGTATAAAAGCAGGAATTGTTCTTGTTAGGAAAATGTGTCTGCTCCTTTCATATTGTGTAGAAAGTTAACACAGTCAGTGTGATTGCGGTTCCCCTCCCCTCCTGCAAGAGATTTGGTGTGACGTGATAGAGAGAGTGTTTGGTCCAGACTGGGGAAAACCTTGGCACAAATGTTGCAAAACTCATCGGCTGACCTTGGGCCGGTCCGTTCTACTCCAACTAATCTATCTCACAGGGATACAGTGGAGATAAAGAATGGATACAATTGTCATGTGTGAGAAACACCTTGGGGCCAATCCGCAGGCCTCTCTGAATCTGCTAAGATGTGAGTTGGCTCCTCTTTGTATTTGCAATGAATGCACAGGGACTGAGTGTCTGTTGTGGGCTGGGGTTTAGAACATGCACTCCATTAATCACAGGCTGACAAAGAGTGCTGGGAATATGGTAGAGAAGCTCTAAGTTTTTGTTTGCCCCATATTGTGATATTTCTATGAAGTTCCTTGGTAGATAGTGATGACGGGGAGGGAGGAGAGGGCTTCAACCATTTTCTGCTGCCATCTTTTATGTCAAGCAACAAAGAGAAAAGTACAATTGTTGAGCAATTACTTATTTGGTGCATTGGAATGAAGACTGATGCAATTCCAGGCAGAGGGCCTTCTTGGTAGTGGCGCCCGCCCTGTGGAACATCAGATGTCAAGGAAACAAACAACTATCTGACTTTTAAAAGACATCTGAAGGCAGCCTTGTTAAGGGAATTTTTTAATGTTTGATGTTTCATTGAGTTTTTAATATTCTGTTGGGAACCCTCCCAGAGTGGCTGGGAAACCCAGCCAGATGGACAAGGTATAAATAACCAATTTATTATTATTATTATTATTATTATTATTATTATTATTATTACAAAGCCCTGAAAATTCAGAGAGGAAAGCGAGGAATTGGGCTTAGATAGTCTCCTAGTAAACCTAACAGACATACAACAAAAGACAAAGCAAATTGGTATGGTAGCATACAGTCTTCTTTATCCTTAAGACCCCAGAAGTTGTTGTTATTATTATTACATATTTATTTATGCCCAGCTTTTCCCCTTGATGGGACTTAAGGCAGCTTACAGTCTTAAAATATGGCTTCAAGTTGTTGGACTATAGCACCCATCATCCTTTACTCTTGGCCAGTGCTTTTTTTTCTGGGGGGACGTAGGGGTATGCATACCCCTAAACATTTTGTGAATCTAAGTCTGGCCTCATTGAGGGGCAGTATTTCAAATGTGTAGGAAAATGAGAGTACCCCTAAACATTTTTTAAAAGAAAAAAACCACTGCTCTTGGCCATACTAGGGTTGATGGGAGATGGAGTCCACCAACATTCTGTGGGATAGCTCAGTTGGTAGAACATGAGACCCTTGACCCCAGGGTTGTGAGTTCAAATCCCACATTGGGCAAAAAGATTCCTTCATTGCTGAGGTTGGACTAGATCCCTTCCAATTCTGCAATTCTATGAATATCAGGGGGCAGGGTGGTTAACAGCCTGGAGGAGGCTGATGACGCAGAAAGGTGGAAAAGCGGCAAATGAGCCGACGAAATGGAAATGCCAAACTGTTCACGTTCTAGTCCTGGGATTAATTTTAGGAATTTTGCACATTAAAAGGCACATTAAAAGTGGAATGCAGGCCAGAGTAAACTCCCAAAACAATAAATAAGTGGAACGGAGGACGCCTGCCCTTCCCTAACCACAAGTAGGAGACAAAAGAAAATGGATAAACAGAGAACAGGTGGAATTAGTGCAGACTGCAATGTATTCTTGCAGAATGGAATTCTGCTCCTCATGCTTTCAGCTACTCCATCCCATTCCCTCTTCCACTTGGTTTCTCGCAACAGTCCATAGCTGTCAACTTACAGATTTGAAAATAAGGGACCAGCAGCCTCGAAAATAAGGGATCAGCAGCCAAAATAAGGGATTTTAGTCAAACAGCTCCTTTCCGTTCCCCCATAACAGTCAATCGAAGGAGCCTCCAAAACAAATCCAAAAGCCTCCCCTCCCACGAGATCACCGCCTGCCATTGTACTCAACCAGCTCCTTTCCTTTTCCGCCACCATGTGCCCCCGCTCCAGGTAGACCTTTTCCTCGGCAAGGGTGAGTGGGCTGTCGATGACGTATCCATCTGATTCCGAGCACAGGTATGTTCAACTTCTGAGGTCCTCCGAGCCAAAGGCAGAAAGCGCAGCCAGCAGCCAAACGAAGCCTCAAGCCGTGGTTCCCAAGCGCAGCAACCCGGCAAAGGGGATGCAGCAAGGAAAACCACAGTCACCTCTCCGCTGGGAAGCGCTGAGCAAAGGCGAGTCCCCAGGAAACGTGGCCTATTTGATCGGCACAAGGCATGCAAGCTCCACCCCCCCAGTCGTTCTTAGACTCCTTATTGGGTAAGCAACACAGTCAAGCAACACAGTTGGAGCCTCCCTCTTCCCTGGCCAGGAGGGAGGGAGGGAGAGGAGCTGCTTCCTTTGAAACCAGGGAAATTTAAGGGACATCATCAATAAGGGACAGCAGCGGGACACAGCGCTGGGATAAGGGAGTTTCCCGCCAAATAAGGGACGCTTGACAGCTATGCAACAGTCAGTCAGCGTTTCCTAGCTGGTGAGCATGCTCAGTCCTTATTGGAGTGTTTTAGGTGTCCTCCCCCTTATGATTTTTTCTAGAGGTTTTGTTTTCACTTCCCAAGCTTCTTGATACCTTCTTCATATGCACAGCCATTTGGGCAGCATAATGAATGGCACTCCCAGTCTGAGCAGGAGGGAATCCCACGAAAAGAATGAGAACATTCTGCTCATCAGCGAAAAGTGGTCTTGGCACATCAGGTGCTTCCTTATAAATTATAATTAATTTCAAGGTGACATGACATTCATTTATAACTCCTACATCCTGCGTTAATAACATGCATAAGCGCAGGTCTCTTGCAAATAAATGACTGTGGTTGACAACTAAAGCACAGCTTTCACTACTCATTGATCCATCTCATCCCAGATGGCGATGCTGTTTGACGAGATAACATAGTCTCCATCAACCCCTCAGGAAGTCCCCGCAGGCATCGTTCTGAAAGCTACTCAAACAGCTGCACATCCAGATATGAAAGGCCAGATCAGATCAGATCACTGTCATTTTGGACAATCAATGCAATTGACCAGGATATTATTCAGATACAATGAAGTAACTGCTATTCCAGGAAAGACCTGAGAGGAATATTGTAATAATAATAATAATAATAATAGCTTTTAAAGTACAGGGATAGTATTATTTTGCTCCCATTTTCCCTGCCCCTATTTTGCAACAGGGAAACAAAATTATCTGCAGAGGGAATGAAACTTCGAAACCAAGAAAAAAACACCACTGATAGGTTACTTTATGGAAGTGAAAAATCAGGCCTTTACTCATTGTTGTATAGTGTGATACTTTTAGCTTTAAAAAGGGGCAGTATTAGAGTATATTAAATTTATGTTTAAAACATAGCAGATGGAAATGAAGAGCATTAGCTGGGAAAGAATTGGTGCAGGGCACACACAGAGGGAATAGAAGACCTGTGCAGGAGACATTCTAGAGATCTGTTATCAAACAAAATAGAATCATAGAATCATAGAATCATAGAGTTGGAAGAGACCACAAGGACCATCGAGTCCAACCCCCTGCCAAGCAGGAAACACCATCAGAGCACTCCTGACATATGGTTGTCAAGCCTCTGCTTAAAGACCTCCAAAGAAGGAGACTCCACCACACTCCTTGGCAGCAAATTCCAGTGTCGAACAGCTCTTAATCTTAGATTAGGTATAGGGAACCATAGAGCTGTCGTTCAGCAACATCCAGAGAGCCAAAGGTTCCCCACACCTGGGGTAGATAATAGTGGGTCCGGCATTGGACTGATTCCTGCATTTCTAAGATATGTCCTTTGTCTTGGATACACTGGGGAGCACTCTGAATTAGGACGGGTGTGACAGCTCTAGCTTGGTGCTCAATCTAGAGGGCTGGGTAAGGGCCAATAAAATGTGCTTGAATCTTGGGAAGACAGAGGCTCTTTGGGTGCTTGGTTCCAACATTCAGGAGGCAGGCAAGTTAACCATTGTAGAGGGGTATGCACTTTCTCTGAAGGAGCAAGTGCAAATGTTTGGGTACTCCTGGAAGCATCTTTTTCACTAGAAGCTCAAGTGTCCTGTGTGGCTAGGAGTGGCTTTCACCAGCTCTGTCTGGTTCACCAGCTATGGCTCTTTTTGGATTTAGGGGAGCATGACCATTTTGCTCCCACTAGGCACTGAGCTGAGAGGGTACCACAGAGGGCACTGCAGCAATGACTACTCCTACTAATAATAATAATAATTTTTATTTATACCCACTCTGGGCAGCTTCCAACACAAATGAAAACCATAATAAAATATCAGACATTAATAGCAACAATCTGATCCAATATAAAAAAGTCACAATAACTTTAAAATAAACTTATATCATCAAATAAATCAATATTCAATAATCCAACGGAAGGTGAGAGGTGGGGTGGTGCTGAATTTTGGTGTCGCACAGGGCACCACAGAAATTTAAAAGCCCCAAATCCACCATTTATGCATAGACTGGTAAGCTTGAGGCTAGACTACTGCAATGCACTCTACATGGGGCAGCCCTTGCAGCTGTTCTGGAAGTTCCAGCTGGTGCAGAATGAGGCCACTGATGGAAGTATCTGGCTAAGAGCATGTGACATCATTGTTAAAACAGGTGCACTCGATTCCCTTCTACTACCGAGTTGGGTTCAAGGTTCTTATATTAATTTACAAAGCCCTGAATAACTAAGATCCAGGGACTGCCTTAATCCTTATATCCCAGCTCAATCCCCAATATCATCTGCAGAAGCATCATTGGTCATTTCTTGGTGAGGCTCATTTACAGTGTGGTTTTTATGTTCTGTTGTTGTAAGCAGCTTTGGTATTGTTGATGAATAGTGTTGTGCAATTCTTAAAAATAAATAAAATAAATAACCCCGTTATTTCTTGACCAGCTTTTCATTGACACCATTAGATCTATCACAGCATTTGTGAGGATGATTACAATGTATTAATCATGCAGTAAACAGACCATGCCATGGTGTAAGCCAAAGGACTAGACAGTTCTCAAGATTCTTTCCAAGCTTGTGGTTCATCATATGAAAGAATCCTAGCATTGTGAACATTCCTAGGCTACAGCCCTGCATACAGCTTGTTTATGTGTGACACCTACTCCTTTTAGTGGTTTCCCGCATCTGTTTCAACAGTTCAACAATTGCTCGGTTATGCACAAAAAGTTGAATGGATGCAGAGTGGTGTATCCACCATTGAAGTCACATGTGCAGGAACGTTGTGGCTGTTTTTGGTCATTCCAAGTGAATGTGTGAAAAAGGGAGTCAAATCCCCATCCCTCATGTTCCTTTTTCCCACAGGAAACCTTGGTGCATTGAGCATGAAGATCTGAAGGGGAATTCCAACCAGCTGGATGTGGTTAGATGCCTCTGCACATCTGGAAAGCCTGCATGATCAGTAAAGCTGAAGTTGCTTTGCAGCCCGTGTTCCTGACTGCAAGGAGGCTTTTAAAGTGCACACTGACGTGACCTTCAGACCTTCTTGGTTAATGCAAGAAGGTTGCAGCAGTTCACAAAGGGTATGGGCATGTTAATGTTTTATTTAGGCAATTTCTGTACTACTTAACATATAGAAATAACTCTAAACAGTGTACAGACAAACCAAAGCCACAACAAACGTTACAAAGATGTACAATAAAACCATTCATACAAATTCCTAATAAATAAATATAGATATAAAAATTTTCTTCTGACACACTTCCCCACTCAACACCTCTCAGTGCCCTGGCTGTCACCCAGGACTTCACCATGCTCTTATTCAGGGCCCAAACAAACTTGCAGATCACCCCACAACTAAAAAAACCCAAGTTTCTGGAACCTCCTGACAACACCTTGGTCTCTCACTCTAGGCTTTATGGGCAAGCACCAAGATCTGATGGAACTTCCTCAGACTGCCCACAGCTGTGTCCCATTCATCACTCAAATCAACTGCACTGCACACAGCCCTTCCAAGATATAGCAGGTTTGGTTTGACAAGTTTCCCAAAGTGTCCCAAGGATAGCAAATTGAACACCCCTTCACTCAAAGTTCTTGCTCTGGCTTCTGCACATCTCTAAACTTGCAACTGTTTTCAACTGGGATGGACCTATGTTCTGTATACATTTCCCCCACCACATGGGGCTTGGACAACCAAGTAAGGCTTCTGTGTGCACCTCTGAGTTGGTGAGTCCATAGCTGAGAATGGATTTGTAGGCAGAGCTGACTTTCAATGCATTGGCTGTGTTCACATGATACAGTAAGCCAACTATGGCTTACCAGGACTGCACAAAGATGTGGATTTGCAGTAGCTTTGATCCTCCCTGGTCCTTTTTGTTCCCATGAGATGCTGAGCTAAGCCAAGATTTGGATTAGCCTGTCACTCAAACCCGGGCTCATGGTTAAGCTCTTTCCAGGATAACCATGAGCTGTAATCAAAGACAAACCTTGGCTATGGCCTGTGGCTAGCAAGAAGTATAAGAAGAGCCTGCTGGAACAGGCCAAACCGTGTCCTCTTTTTACAGCGGTCAACCAGAGGTCCTTGGAATGGCCACAAGCAGACCCTGAGTGCAACTGTGATTCCCAGCCATTGATATTCAGAGGCATGTTGCATCTGACAGTGGAGGCAGGACATGGCCATTGTGGCTAGTAGCCAGGAGAGAGCTTAACCATGAGTCCATAACTTTACATTATCCTGGAAAGCCATAGTTTGGTTTACCATGTTGTGTGAACCAGACCATTGTGTTTTGGCAGATTTCATTTAAAAAGGCGGTTTGTTGCAACTTTCTGAAGAATCTACAGACCCCTCCCTGACTTCAAAGCCTACTTCCATAATTGTTGTTGTTTAGTTGTTTAGTCGTGTCCGACTCTTCGTGACCCCATGGACCAGAGCACGCCAGGCACTTCTGTCTTCCACTGCCTCCCGCAGTTTGGTCAGACTCATGTTTGTAGCTTCGAGAACACTGTCCAACCATCTTGTCCTCTGTTGTCCCCTTCTCCTTGTGCTCTCAATCTTTCCCAACATCAGGGTCTTTTCCAGGGAGTCTTCTCATGAGGTGGCCAAAGTATTGGAGCTTCAGCTTCAGGATCTGTCCTTCCAGTGAGCACTCAGGGCTGATTTTCTTAAGAATTCCTTAAGAATTCTTCCATAATAATCCACAGGTTTTTTTAAAACAAACAAACAAACAAAAACAAACTCCTTTAGTTGGGCTGCACTTTCATTTGTTTGTTTCAGCTGAATCCTTCTCACTCGGAAGACACACACCCCAACATCTTCACACTGTGTTCACTTGAAGCAGCACCAGCTAACTTTAAACGAAAGTCAAGAGAAACAAAGTAATACAACACTGAAGCACCAACCCCTTGTGAAAACCCTTGCAATAAAATCTTTAATCTTTGTGGATGGGACAAGGCCATTTATTTAATCGCGTTGCTTACCCTTTCTCACAAGTGAACTGTTTGGTCGAAGGCACAAACGTCAAAGTGTCCGATCGAGAAAATTAACCAAACACTGTGGATGTTTACTCAAGAAGGTGTTGAAACCGCACTGCAGTAAATTGCTTCCTCATCCAGCAAATACTTGATACAAGCCCAATTCTAACATGTGAGATTCCAAACTTCACTGTGTTATGAATGGTCCATCTGAGGGCTAAAACCTCCACGGTTACAAGTCGGTTCTCCCACTGGGGCTGTGTCCACATGTGTGTATGTGTGGAAAGTAGGTTTGAGACAGGGAGGACCATAGTTCAGTGGGAGAGCATCTGCTATGCATTCAGAAGGTCCCTGGTTTGACCCCTGGCATCTCTCAGCAGGACTGGAGGAAACTTCTGCCTTAAGGCACTTCACCACAATAAGGGGTCAGCCATATTTTGCTTAACACAGGGGTGCAGAACCCTTTTCAGCCTAAGGGATGCATTCCTTTCTTGGCAACTTCCAGGGGCAGAAATCTAAGCAGAACTGCAGGGGGTTCTGAGGATTTGTGAGGTCATCAGAATTTGTATTTCCTGACACAAAAATGCAAATTTCAGCAGTTTTCCTCAGGTACCAAGCAAGTATTGCAGCTCCCCCAAAGTTGAGATGAACAAAACACCAGTGACCACTGTCCATTCTGCCTGGCACTAATGGCATCTGCAGCCTGTTATCATCTGGCTACCCTATCCTATGTTTGTTTAAACCAGGGTTTCCCCAACTTGGGTTTCCAGCTGTTGTTGGACTACAACTCACATCACCCCTACCTAGCAGGACCAGGGGGAAAGGCATGATGGGAACTGTAGTCCAAAAATAGCAGAAGACCCAAGTTTGGGAAACCCTGGTTTAAAGGCATTAGTAATACTGTGCTGTCATTCAAATGGTATCAAATCCACATAAATTTCTACAAGATAAATATCCAGTTTTCTTAGCAGTTTTCTTCCAAGTGAAGGCAGAAGCATCAGTGTGTGTACAATTTAACTAACTTTTCAAAACAAACACAAGCTTTCTAGATATCTGTTAACGATACCCAAATGATTTTGTCCTCTAAATGATTAAATTGAGGTTTATAAATATTAGCATAATGAATAAATGCTGTAGTCTATAATTATTACAGTATTATTAATTGAAATGTATAAATAGGTTTTTCATCTTATTATTCATTAATGATAGTGCTTTAATAATGTGTGAAGCTTTCATATTTGTATATCATCTGTCATTTTCTCAATTAAAATTAAATAAAAGCAGCCAAATGGCATTTGTAGGTTGCACTTCTACAGTACATCCATTGAACATTTTATTTCAGTCACATCATATAAACATTACTAATTCTAACCCAGATTTTCACATGTTGGTTTTCACATTGAAAGTTTCTACTTAAAGGTAGAAGAAAAGGTGTGAACTGATGAGAAGACGAGGTTGTGTTTGACGGATGTGGTCAAGGACGCCCTTTTCCAGATTCGAGGTTGTGGAAACCTTGCAAAAACCTTAGAAGAACCTGTGTGGCACCAGGCACAGAAAAAGGAAGTGACTGTAATTTCATTCTTATGTTCCAGGAAGCTATCAAGCCTTGGAACACGGGTGGTCTAAACCACTGAGTCTCTTGGGCTTGCTGATCAGAAAGTTGGCAGTTCAAATCCCTGCGATGAGGTGAGCTCCCGTTGCTCTGTCCCAGCTCCTGCCAACCTAGCAGTTCTAAAGCATACCAGCGCAAGTAGATAAATAGGTACCATTGTGGCAGGAAGGTAAACGGCATTTCCGTGTGCTCTGGTTTCCGTCATGGTGTTTCTGTTTAGTCATGCTGGCCACATGACCCAGAAAGCTGTCTGTGGACAAATGCCGGCTCCCTCGGCCTGAAAGCGAGATGAGCGCCGCAACCCGTGACTGCCTTTGACTGGGCTTAACCGTCCAGGGGTCCTTTACCTTTTTTTTTTTTTTTAACCAAGTCTTGGAAGAGAAAGGTCAGCTGAACTGTTCCTAAGATAGCCCCATTTAGCTTTGATTGGGGAAGGTCCACAATCTTATCTGAACCAGAGCTGAGCCTATCTCCCTTTTAGATGCAATCTTCAAGGCCAGCCCAAGTGACTGTGGTAGGGTTGTCATACATCCAGAATTTCATGGACATAGATGAGATTCGGACAGTGTCTGGGCGGAAATTGCTGAAATGTCCGGGGAAATCTGGGCATATGTCAACCCATGTAGGAAGTGTAGATTTTGGATTTTGGCGAATTTCCTTAAAAATAGTTTGTTTGTTTTTTGTCAGATTTTGCAACAACTTTGACCTAAACTTTAAAAAGCTGGCAAAGCCAGTGCCATTGCATGGGGGGGGGCATGTGCCAGCTGTACTTTTGCCACCATATATGTCTCATTCCCTCCTTCAAAAGACGCCTGCTTCTTGGGAGAAAAGCAATGACAAACCTAGACAGCATCTTAAGAAGCAGAGACATCACCTAGCCAACAAAGGTCCGTATAGTTAAAGCTATGGTTTTGCCAGTAGTGATGTATGGAAGTGAGAGCTGGACCATAAAGAAGGCTGATCGCCAAAGAATTGATGCTTTTGAATTATGGTGCTGGAGGAGACTCTTGAGAGTCCCATGGACTGCAAGAAGATCAAACCTATCCATTCTTAAGGAAATCAGGCCTGAGTGCTCACTGGAAGGACAGATCGTGAAGCAGAGGCTCCAATACTCTGGCCACCTCGTGAGAAGAGAAGACTTCCTGGAAAAGACCCTGATGTTGGGAAAGATTGAGGGCACAAGGAGAAGGGGACGACAGAGGACGAGATGGTTGGACAGTGTTCTTGAAGCTACCAGCATGAGGCAGTGGAAGACAGGAGTGCCTGGAGTGCTCTGGTCCATGGGGTCACGAAGAGTCGGACACGACTAAATGACTAAACAACAACAATGTCTCATTCCAAGGTGGTCAGACCTTCTGCACCTTCAATAGTTTCCCTACGCATTTATTAAAGGTGCAAGAGCTCTGTCTCCCTTTTCAGCTGGCCACCACATCTCCATCTAGACTCTCTCTCTCTTGATTTTAAAGGAAGAGGGCATTGAAGACCATGTTAAAATTTGGTGGTCAACTACCATTGTTTAGGAACATTTAGTTCAAGTTATTGTGAGAAAAGATTAGTCAGCCCAGGAAAAAAAGTACAGGCTGATCTCCCTGGACATTATTACATCTGGAAATTGAAGGAACAGATTAATGCTGGGAAAAGCTCAGCCATTGTAACTAATTCAAAAGCGTGATGTCTTGGGACCAGACTGTGGTTGGGAATGGATTTCAACTAGCTCAACACACTGCAATTTGCAAGCGCTGCAATTCCTCCTGTCTGAAATGGGCTTGTGGTTTCGGTGTGGGAGGAAGGCAAGAAGCACCAGATCCAATAACACAAACGCCTTTCCCACTCTTGTTTCCAACGTTCTGCGACTTCAGTTGACCCAAAAGTTGAGGTCTTAATGAATAAGTGGGAATGCGGTGGGACAGGAAGGGCAGCTTTACTGCTATTATCATAACTTTTCTTGACAAGGAAGCATCTTGCATCAAACACTTGTATTTCCTCAATTTCCTTATGCATTTGCTTCCCCCCTTTATTAGCAAAACATGGTTCCTGGGACCTGACTGTGGACTTGTAGGGGTGGGAGAGAAAGTGGATTCAGTTCACATGTAAAGGTGAACTGACATCTATTTTGCACTTTGCAAGACAATATGAGAACTGAAACTCATCCATTCATTGAAATTCACACTTCTCTGGATTTTGCAGATTCTTCAACCAATTCATGTGCACAGAAATGCATAGCTTGATGTAAAATGTGCATATGAATGCATCTATTAGTGAAACCAACACACACAAAACACTAGAGTGTCTATTAGGAGAATTTGTAAGCATAGTTGCATATATTAGGCTGTACTACTGTTCTAGAAAAAGAGGCACCAGAACTCACCATGAACACCTCCCTTGTTCTCTTATAATGGCAAAGGAGCCCATCTGAGAGGTGCCAGAACTGAGTTCCTGTGAGTTCCAGCTGAAGAAAGCCCTGATATTAGACAACATTTGCACTAAAATGTTGAAAAATGTTTTTCTCGGGAGGGAGGGAGTGTGAGAAAGAGTTTGCTTTCTATGAAATGGGAATTTTGCCTAGCAGACACAGAGAAAAGTTAAATGGATGTTTTGCCTGGGAGAAAAAGGCCACAGCAGTCTCTTTATGTACCCATTATAGCAGGCATTTTGTGAATGGGCCAGCTCCCTATGGCAGCCATTCTTAAAACTGGTATCCACTACGTTCTCTCAAAATTTCAAATGTGCCTATTCTACTTCCTGAAAAGAAGGGAAGGCTAGTAGCCATCTGCCTGATGTCTGGGCCTCTATGTGGACAGAAGGTTTTCCGATGAAGGGGCAGTCAGTCATGTGCACAGGTTTACCTGCTCAGTGATCCCTCGGCCACTTGAGCATGAATGGCTTGTTTTGCTTCCTCTGACTTAGAGAAGGGAGAGAGAGAAATGAAAAGGGGGGGGAAAGGGTATGGAAGTAGTGAGTGAGACTGATGGAATTTCAGGTTTATGAATCGCACCAGAAATCTTCAAAGAAGATTTTGCTGCATCTGCAGGCAGCATTTATCTCGTCTGTAGTTTTCTATATAAAGATGGGCATTTATCAGTTCTTCTTCCCTTTCTGTTTCCAAAGCTATCTTTTGATCTTCTCCTCCAGTGCTTTTTCCTCAGTCCGAGTGGAACAATAGCTCATTTGGCCAATCTCTCCCTCTCTCCCCCTCTCTTTCAATTTAGTCCCTTCTCTGCAAAAGTCTGACTTCTAAAATGAATTGCATGTCTCTGTACCAGAAACAAGGTTTATTTTTAAGACACTCTCTCTCTCTCTCTCTCTCTCTCTCTCTCTCTCTCACACACACACACACACACACACACACACAACCAAAGTGGGGGCCGCCAGGACACTCCAAAGTTGTGGGGCGGGCTAATTGACCATTGGCCACTGATGCGATTGGGCTTCCCTTGTTGTTGGGAAGAAGTTAATTTTGCCATTTGTTGATTGACAGCCAGAAATACAAAAACTCCTTGCACGAGGCTAGGGCTTCCTCTTTTCGCCCATGCATCGGATTGCCCGTCCCCCCCCTCCCTAGAATTAGGGTTGTTCGCTTTGACCTTGCTATGCCTGTCATGGGGTCGTCTGCTCTTGGGACAGGGGCCTGGTAGGAATTTTGTCCATCTGGCTGATTGGCTGGGGCCATTTGGTTTTTGCCTACTGCGTAGCAAATCGTCACAACTTGTAAGGTTGTGGTTAGGCATTGGTTTATGGTTTGGTTGGTTGAGGGGCATAGATTG